CACACCATGAGCTACAAAAAGAAGGCCAAGGCCCTCAGAGTCCTCCCATCCGGAAAAGCTTCCAAAGTAATATTCTACTCCTCCGCAGGCTCGGGGGCTACTGTCGGGTATCGATAATAGGGGTACCCAAAGCAAGAAAGTTAGCGCCCACGCTGACTTCCTCGAATGGAGCAAGACGTATTAAAAAGTCTTGCCCGACCCCAAGGCTGCAGGCTCCGTCTCGCCCGACCTCGAGGCTGCGGGCTCCGTCTCACCCGACCCCTTGGGTGTCTGCTCCATCTCGCCCGACCCCTCGGGTGTAGGCTCCGTCTCGCCCGACCCCAAGGACGTGGGCTCCGTCTCGCCCGACCCTTGGGTGCGGGCTCCGTCTCGCCTAACCCTTGGGTACGGGCTCCGTCTAGCCCGACCCCAAGTACGCGGGTTCCGTCTCGTCCGACGGGGACCCATATCGCCGCCAACCACTCCAGGTCCAAGCGTATGGGCCAGGGTCAAAACTCTGACACCATGAAAGAAACTGGCACGACTCGATGTAACCCATGGCCGTGATGGGCCATACCTGAGGATTCACATCAAGAACACGTAGCGGTGCCGCGCTGTCTCGTCTAACCTCGCATTTAACGCTAACAGGGCGCCACCACCACAACGTCCGCTGGGACAAAATAGAACGCCATGACCTGTAGATGACGCCTGCGCATGGCGCCAGTGACGAACAGGGTCACGAAGTGGAGCCATCCCTGTTGATATCTACAGGATCGGCAGGACCCGCATAAATGAGAAGGACCCGGCGATCCTGGAAGCATTTTTCTCTCTCTCGTTCTTCTCCTCTTCCTCCTCTGTAACCCGCGCTTTTCCTTCGCCTATAAAAGGCAAAGCAGGGCGCCCCTACCAGGGATCCAGATCCGCATGAGACCGAACCACGAGATAGAAAACACAAGAGCACGACACGAACACACGACGGAGCAGCAATCGAACTCTCAGCACTCGTTCACTCCTTCCACTAGAGACTTGGGATCATATCCGCTCTCGCGCGTTTGTAACCCCTACTGCAAACCAAGTGGCGGTAACACGAGCAGCAACAAACTGGATGTAGAGACGTTCCGCTCGAACCAGTATAAACCCTTGTGTCCTTCGAGCACACCATCCGAGCCAGACGCGCAGATACAAATTTACTCGTCGGTGGTCCGAAAACACCGACACGAACTTTTTGTGTTGTTACATAGTACATTCTCTGAAGAAGTCAACTTAGCACAGCAGGCTGCTTTTTTTTTCTTTGGCCAATTCCTGTTACAAAAACTATCGACGGGACTGTTCTTTTCTCCTTTGATCAGAGTGAAACCGAGGACCTCGGCAACCTTGATTGACTGGATTTGATCTCGCGAGCCGCAAGGATGTATTTTTGTAGTAAAAAATGGGTTTGAATTTGTCAATCTCATTCACCTGGTGTAGATGTTTTCCCATTGATCTGTACAAATGCTCATGTTCCGAGTCACACACTACACTACAAAGGTGGAGATCCACTGTTTTTACTTTTAAGATCCTATAACAGATGCCTACATGCATGATTTATACCACTTGCATACTGGTGTGATGAAGATTTACCATGCTATTTCCATTGAAATCACTGAAAGTCTGAAACTATTGCCGAGCCGGTCTAGTCATTATTAACCGGACATATGTCCATTTTTTTTTTGAGACGATGGCATTATCCTCGATCAGGTCAACTATATCCAAACAAGTTACTGTGTACATCTTAATCTTATCAGTAGTGTCGCAAGTTGCAGCAGGAATACGTGAAGTTTTATCCAACCTTTCGGTAATGTTTAGCCATTTGCAAGTAAGAGTCTAGTCATCACAATGGACGGCCAGGATTCGTTTAACATTTGGGGTGTTTTCTCATAGAACTCCGCCTCCTTCATCTTTTTGTGTGTGTGTGAATTCCCCCTCCTCTTTCGTTCTTGTCAGGCCCTGTATTTCACGAGCAAAGTGGACAGTCAAATGTGCAATTACTCTTTCATTGATTGAAGTGCCAAATGTGCAACAACGATAGCAAGAGATTGAATGAAGTGTCTCTTTCATTGATTGATCTTGTGTTTATATACATGTTGAACTGACGCCAAGAATCGTTGGTGTCCATTCGGAGATAGGGTTGCCGAACGGGTGAATCAGAGTTTACAACAATCGATCTGATTAGACAGCGATTAAGATTAATCCTAGTCACTAATCTGCGTGAGTGTTGGATCCGTGGGATTTGATCATCCTTCGGTGATCGGCTCCACACAACATAGAGGTTCAAAGGATTAATGCCAAATGAGTTATATGTGGTGCATATGTACATCAACTGCGGTTTTACAAACTTGGCTGGCAGTTGGGACTACCATTAACGCACTTAAGACACACTAGCTCATCCCAGCCAGCTCATTTGTGCTGATAAAATAGAGATTTTGCATCACTACCGGATTATAACACGAATCGGCATAACAATGAGCGTCAATAGTGTTATCAACTGAAAAGATACCTTGGTGACTACCCATGCTAGCTTGTAATACTAATATTAATAGGTATGCGCAAAAAAAATATTAATAGGTACAAATATTTCCATAATTATCATCCATATGCTATAGCTCGTATTTATACTTTCATGCTTTTGTAATTTGAGCCAGAAATTTATAACTTATTCAAACGAACTGAGATAATAGAGAGAAATTTTGTACGGAAAATATAGGTTTTGACATTTGCAGGTTTGTAGTTGATTTTCTTTTTTTCATTTGAAGTCATTTAGATGTCCATATAATTCTTCGCAAAAAGATGTCCATATATAATTGATCAAGGATTCCGACAACAAAAGTTAAAAGGGAAGAAAGTTTTGCATTCCTATAAGTGATGATCAATACTTAGGGTCTGTTTGGATCCACTCCTCTAAAAACTTTAGAGCACTTTATGAGCTATAGAGTTTTAATGTGGGGTGGACTAAAGTTTACAGCTAACTTTAGACAATTTGTTCGGAGCTCTAGCTCTAAAGTTTAGAGCTTTAAAATTTAGAGGAGAAAATCCAAACAAGCTCTTAATGGGACGGGAGGCCTGGAATGGAGCCTAGGCGCAAGGTGGCTTAGGTTTAAATACATACATATTTTATCCATATTTATTCAGGACAAGAAACATGGATTATTTATGGTCCCTGTGTCAGCTTGTACTCATGTTCCAGCTGGGTTCATATTCGGCAGGTATTTGTGTCATTACAAATATTTGCCGGTTCAAAAAACTTGCGGGAACAGGAGATGGTAGGGCCAGGTGGCCTATAAAATTATCTCATATTACACATACTCTTTCCGTTCTAAATTATAAGGCGTTTGACTTTTCTAGATACATCGTTTTAATTAACCATGTATCCAGATATAGTGTATATCTAAGTACATAGTAAAATTTATGTATCTTGGAAAAACCCGAAACGTGTTATGAATTGGAATAGAGGGAGTACGTGTAAACTTAGTAACCTCAACTTATTATGTGACGGCTCACAAGTCACAGAACTCAAATAATTTATTGCTATTGATATTTGTCAACCTGATTTGGAGACCCAAGCACTACTTCCACTTCAGCACTAATTAGAAAGGTTTATCAAATACAACGACATATCTTACACATATGCATTCTAAGTTTAAAACACAAAAAGATCACTGATATCATATGTTAATCTTCAGCAAGGAGTAAGGGAACCCCAAGAACTAAGAGTAGCTTGGTTGGTTAGATTTTTTATTATTTATGATGAAATCTGCCCGCCTGATTTTGACCTCCAATTTAGTATGGATACTCATTTCAGCTATATATTATTCTTGCAGTGGTATGATGACATGTGCCCATTGTGATAGCGGATCACCTTTGATGACTTCATCAATTTCAAAATATATCGATCTAGTATTGGGTGAATTCATAAGGAAAAATGTTATATTCTAATTAATTACAAAGTTTGACTTTTAAGTGGCCATTTAGTAACGATTTATCTGTTGTTCAAGAGAAGCAGGGGCCATTATTGTCTTCAATATTAATTTGCAATACTTACCATACAATCCTAAAAATAACATCTGTGGAGTTGTCTCTTATACTCTACTATTCAAATTACATGTTGTTTTGCATTCCCGTTCGTCAAACTTTATAAACTTAGACTATCAATATATAAGAAAACATAGATTTACAATAATAGAAGCCATGATGTTAATAGGTTTACTATAAAAAATAATTTAAAATACTTAATTACCTTTCTTTGGTATTCATATTTTCATAGAAACCATGGCCACTTTGTAAACCATGTTGATGTCCTAAATAATACGCCATCAATTTCAAATTATAAAATATTTTGTATTTCTAGATATATTATTTTTACTGTGCACCAATGTATATCTAAGTACATAGAAAAACTATGTATTTATAGAAAGAAGAAAAGCCAAAACGTCATAGAGCAAGTACGTACACATTTTGAATGGGAGGGGCACTTATTCTTTCCCTTTTTCTATTTCTTGTTCTGTCAAAAGATAAGCAGGACATGTCGTGTACGACTTCTGCCTGCCATGCAACACTAGACACCCAATAGCAGCAGCTTTAGAGCGAGGCTACCAGCCAGTACATGCATGCATGCCTATGCCCTATTGTTAGCCACTACAAAATGAACCCTATAATAATTAAATAAAGGAGGAAGCACTACAAGCTAGCAAAAATGCACAAACTTTCTCCCAGCCAACCGCAAGCCCCCTCCATCACTATAAATAGACCGTTTTGTCACCAACAATGCTCCTCGTGCCCACTTCTTCCAACTTACAATCCAAGCAACCAACTAGCTCAACACATCTCTTCTTGTCTTCTCATCTAGCCATCTAAGTAGTAATTGCATTAGCAACCATAAATTCATAATAGCACCTGCTATGCACTAGTCACTAATCACTACACATAGTTCACACACACATAAAAATAAAGATTTTACTTAGGTTAACTCTGCATATATAACCGCCATGAAGACTGAAGTAATCACCACCATGATCTACATGGTCTTCCTCGTGCACTTCGCCATCACCATCAGCCCTAACACACAGCCCTCGTGGCTCTTCTCTCTCGTGTCTCTCTCCCTTGCCGTGGTGGCGGTTACACTGCCATTCGTGGTCACCACCACCCTCCATGCACATAGGAATGCCGGCGCTACCGCCACCATCCCGGGGCCACGAGGGTGGCCGCTGGTAGGCTCCCTGCCAGCTGTGTCCGGCCCACTCATGCACCGCCGCCTGGCCACGCTGGCCGATGCGCACGGCGCGCGCCGCCTCATGTCGCTCACCCTCGGCGCCACCCCCGTGGTGATCAGCAGCCACCCGGACACGGCACGGGAGATCTTGTCTGGCGCCGCTTTCGTGGACCGCCCGCCCAAGGGCGTGGCACGAGAGCTCATGTTCTGTCGTGCCATTGGCTTCGCCCCCGCGGGCGAGTACTGGCGTCGCCTCCGTCGCATCGCGGGCACCGGCATGCTCTCCCCGCACCGCATGGCCGCGCTCGGGGGCCTCCGCTGCCGCATCGCCGACGACATGGTCAGGCGCGTCGCTGACCAGATGGAGAGGTCCGGGGAGGTGGCCATGAGAGCCTTGCTCCAGAGGGCCTCCCTAGAGAGCATGGCGGGCAGCGTGCTGGGCCTCAAGGGTGTCGTTGTTAGTGAGGAGCTGGGTGAGATGGTCAGGGAAGGGTATGAGCTCGTGGGCATGTTCAACCTAGGAGACCACTACTACAAGACACCATGGGGCCCGCTGATGGACCTCTGGGGGTGGGTCCCATGTGCAGGGGCTGGCAGCTAGGGTTAGAGGGTATTTTGGGAAGATCATTGAGGAGAGGAGGGTGGTAGGGGACTACCACGAGAGGGACGACCTGCTCAGCTACATGCTTTCGCTGCCAGAGGAGGAGAGGCTAGAGGACTCTGATGTGATCGCTGTGCTGTGGGTAAGTGAGCTCTATATCTTTTCATCTTATGCATCCTTGCTTCTTTGGCAAAAAGTGATACACTGGGGTAACACTTAATTATTAAGTTGTTGGTGGTATACTTTTGAGTGGTGTAACATGCTTGTTTGATAGGTGCATATCGGGGAGATACAAATAAAGCGGTGATAATAAGTGGACGTAAAAATATGCATCCTATAATTAGGAAATACTCCATCCCTTCCGAATTATAATACGTTTTAACTTTTTTAGATATATTGTTTTTACTATGTATCTGGATATAGTGTATATCTAAGTGCATAGCAAAAGCTATATGTATTTAGAGATGTCAAAACGTCTTATAATTTGAAATAGAGGGAGTACATACCATGGTCTCTATTTTTATTTTAAAATAAATAATTTATACTAGGCAAATAAAATCCTTATCTATATTATTCTATATGCATAACTTTTAGTTTATGGAACTGCAATCCTCACCCCTAATTTTCTAGACTAAGCTAGCAGATTTCCTAATTATGCCTTTTGTTCTGAAAGTCAAATTTTTTTCCGGTGAGCATTCTGTATGTATGGTGATGAAATAGATTCTGATGTAGTTAAATCATGTGATCTGTTGTGATAGTGACTTCAAATTTCGGTGTACATGACGCTTTAATGATCTCATCACCAATGACGCGCGTGTCCTATGCACATTCATCTCATTAGTTATATCGAAGATTGTAGATAAACTAGAGATGAGAGAACCTGAGGAATAACTTTAGCTTGAGTTTTATTTTCACAAAGATGTTTCAGTGCAGTAGGGTCAATTCCTTTTCTATCTTTAAGGTTTTGTGAGCGCACACATGCAATTGCCAATCAAAATTGGCCCATCTTCAATGACTATCAACTAATGGCTATCATCGTGATTACAATAATTCATTCAACTTAAGATTAGAAAAATCTATAAGCACAACTTATGATTAGTACACCTGTCCATGTTGCAAATGCATATGCAGGAGATGATCTTCCGTGGCGTGGACGTCGTGGCGATACTCCTGGAGTGGGCCATGGCCCGCATGTCGCTCCACTCAGACATCCAATCCAAGGCCCAGGAGGAGATGGACGCAGCGGTGGGCCGCCTCCGTCCCATCACCGACTCCGACGTCCCGAGCCTGCGCTTCCTCCAGTGGATCCTCAAGGAGACGCTCCGGATGCACCCGCCGGGCCCGCTCTCTCCTGGGCGCGCCTGGCGGTGCAGGACGCGCGGGTGGGCAAGCACGTGGTGCCGGCGGGGACGACGGCCATGGTGAACATGTGGGCCATCTCGCACGACGAGGCCATCTGGGGAGACCCTGGGTGTTCCGGCCGGAGAGGTTCGCGGAGGAGGAGGTGAGCGTGCTGGGGTCCGACCTCAGGCTGGCGCCGTTCGGGTCCGGCCGCAGGGTGTGCCCTGGCCGGATGATGGGCCTCGCCACCGCGCAGCTCTGGCTCGGACGCCTCCTGCAGGAGTACCGGTGGCTGCCACCGCCGGCCAACAAGCCCGTCAGGCTCGCCGAGTGCCTCCGCCTGTCCATGGAGATGAAGACGCCCCTCGTCTGCCGCGCGGTTCCTCGTCGTCGCGGAGGACCTGCTGCTGCTTGATTGATGGACGACGACTGTGATGATGAGCTCCTTCGGTGCTGTGGCCACTGTTGTCCGAGCTGGGTTTCAAACTTTCAATTCAGCTGGCAATTAAACTATATAAAGAAGGATTGAAGGAAGATGCACCGGTGTAAATTAACCCTTGTGTTTGCCTACTACTCGTTCAGTGTTGTTTGTATAATCAAGATTATTGTATGTATGTGATGTGATGTATCTGTGCCCGGCCTATAGCTAGGTGGCTAGACACACGTAGTTTGCACTACTCTGATATATACTATATATGTGTACCTGCTTTGTCAGAACGTTTTAGTTTTAATTTGATCACTACATTTTCCCTACTTCCTGCTTCTTGTATATATGTTGCTAGCTGCTCTACTTGTGTTTGGAAAAAATCCTCTTCTTTTTTATTATATGATGACATCCAGTTATAGGAAAAATCCTGTTTTAAACTCAGCCATCTTTTAGTGATTATGAAGTGTTAGTGATATCCAAGGAAAAGCTAACACACTAATTAGCATATATATAAGTGTAAAATGGGACATCATGCGGATGTGGTCCTTGCGACCTATTTTTCAACGCATTAGGCTGTCTCCAACGAGAGACCAATTATGAACCCAAACCCAAAATAAGTCTCCAACACAATACCTATAGCCTCCAATAGAGTACCTATATGGAAGACCCATTTTGAGTGTCGGGAGAGACATAACCTAAATCTGAGTATCATCTCTCCCGGAGACCCATTCCAGAAAGGGTTGTCTCACTACATGAACGCGAGAGCTTTGTCGTGTGCCTAGGGCACACAGCAAAAGCCACGAATCACACTCGGCAAACACTTTGCAGTGTAACACCTCTGATAAAGGGCACACTCGGCAAAAATTCATCGGTAAACTCACTTTGCCGAGTGTTTTTCGTCGAGCACTCGGCAAAGACATTGCCGAGTGCCCAAAAACACTCGCAAATATTTTTCGCAAGAAATAAAAAAAAAATTGCCACCGGCCGCCGCCCACCACGCCGCCACGCCCGCCGCCCACATTTGACCGCCACGCCATGCCACCACCACCACCACCACCACCAAGCCCCACACCGACGCCGCCCGCCCACCACACCACCCGCCACGCCGCCCGCCACCCGCCACGCCACATGCCACCCGCCGGATCCGGGAGAGGGGAGGGGTGGCCGCCGGATCCGGGAGGGGAGGGGCCGCCGCCAGATCTGGGGAAGGAGTGGAGGGGGCGGCGCCGGGGAGAAGGGGAGGGGGCGCGGCCGGGGGAAGGAGGGGTGGCCGGGCTGCCGCCGGATCCGGTCAGGAGGGGAGGGCGCCACGGGAGAAGGGAGGGGCGTGTGGGCCTTGCGCGGGAAGGAGAGCGGCTGGGCGACGGACGGGCGCGGAGAAGGGAGGGGCGTCGGACGCGGTGGCAGGGAGAAGGGAGGGGGGGGGGGGGGAGAGAGGTGGTCGGACCGCCGGATCCGGCCGGGAGGAGAGGCCGCCGACGGGAGAAGGGAGGGCGTCGGAGACCTTGGCGCGGAGAGAGGGAAGGCGTCTGACGCGCGAGGAGAAGGGGAGGGGCCGTCAGGGGAGAAGGGTAGGCGCGTCCACCGGGCCGTTAAAAAACATTTTTTCTTTGCCGAGTGTCCTAGATCTGGGCACTCGGCAAAGTTTTTTTTCATTTTTTTTCTTCTCCTTCTTTCCTAGAATTTTTTTTCCTTTGCCGAGTGTCCTAGATCTGGGCACTCGGCAAAGTTTTTTTGTTTTTTTCTTCTCCTTTCCCAGAAAAAAGATTTTCTTTCTTTGCCGAGTGTCCTGGATCTGGGCACTCGGCAAAGTTTTTTTTTCATTTTTTTCTTCTCATTCTTTCCTAGAAAAAAGATTTTACTTCTTTGCCGAGTGTCAAAAAAAACACTCGACAAACCACATCTTTGCCGAGTGTTTTTTTTACACTCGGCAAACCTCCTCTTTACCGAGTGTTTTTTTTTGCCGAGTGTTTTTAGCACAGCACTCGGCAAAGATCTTGTTTGCCGAGTGCCCGAGAGAATACACTCGGCAAACATAAAAACACTCGATAAATTTGACGTTTCCGGTAGTGTCTTTTGGGTCTTCTTGTTGCAGAAGACCCAAAATAGATATTGAATCATTTGCCTGTAACGCTACCCAAATGACGAATGTGTCTTGTATTTTGGGTCGCGATTGTTGGAGACAGTCTTAGGGTCTAATTAACTAGGCCAGTTAGAGGCCAGCTTGTTGATCATAAAGTTACTTTTCCTGAAGGCAAGTTTTGCTTAAGGACATCCGAGAAACGTGACATTTTAGTGCCTGTTTAGTTCCCAAAATTTTACAAAATTTTTCAAGATTTTCCGTCACATCGAATCTTTGGACACATGCATGAAGCATTAAATATAAATAAAAAATAAAACTAATTACACAGTTTAGACAAAATTCACGAGACGAATCTTTTAAGCCTAATTAGACTATGATTGGACACTAATTATCAAATAACAATGAAACGAAAGTGCTACAGTATAATTTCCCAAAAAATTTCACCAACTAAACAAGACCTTAGTAATACACACCGGCCCCGTTCACTGATCTGAAACTTGGCTAAACCGGGCTTGGTTGTTGTGAGAGAGAAAACTCTTTATTTGGTCTGGTTGATGAACAATGTAAATGTGAGGGGATCAGCCCAAGAAACGCGCCCACTATCAACTCAGAAATTTGTCTAGTAGCATTATGAATGCGCGAATCTAAGGCATCGATTAATTCATTATGTTCTAATATCTATGGAGAGAGAAGTGGGAGAAATGACCTTTTTTTTTGCCCTGTGTTCTTCCTTTTGCTCCCGACAAACCGTATGCTCGTAAACGATCGTAAATTTCCAGCCAGGAACAGTGTTTTTCTCTCACGCCAAACCAGCCAGCAGTAAATAATCCACGATACGATACGGCCTCCCGAACATGCTGAACATCAACCTTCTCTCTCTATCATAGATCAGTGCACGACAGCGCGACCCCTCCCCTGCACCTCTACCCGCACGGCTGTGCAATCCCTCCTTTGCGCCTCTCCACGCATGGTGGCGTGGCCTCCCTCAGGCTTCTCTCTGCGCATAGCGGCATGGCCCTTCCATGCCTCTTCCAACACGCGGCGTCGTGCCGATCCCGTGTGACGGAAGGGGGCCGGTGGCCACTTTGTAGATTATATCCTAATGTGGCAGAGTGCCAGAGGCATTGAGGTGGAGATATGAGAGAGACAAAAGTATAGGGAATGACTGAGAGAGAGGAGGGGGGTGGGGGACAAATGAACTCTAAACCGATGGATGTTGAAGATAAAGGCAAAATGTCATTTTCTCCATCTTTCTCTCTCAATAGTTATGAGAAATTAATAAATTAATCGGTGTGGAGTGTTACAGCAAAGGTACATACTTTCATAATGATACTGAACAAATTTCTAGGCTAGCGGTGTGTATCAGCAAATACCACATTCCTCTGATGTCCCTGAACAAATTTGCCACGTTTTTGCAATAGAGTTTTTCATGATGCAATGCATAGATGATCATGCTTAGCAAGGAAACCAATGTGGTTCATTACATGGGCCAGGCCCAATTAACTTCAACACTAATTACCTCATTATCATTGGCATGGACGGAAGTGACTAAGAAATAATATGTGCTGTTGCAATACACGCACATGTTTATTAGTACTAAAAAAGATACACCATAGCGGAGTTTCTAGCTAGAAAAGAACAATAAGTGAATTCACTTATTCACAACATTTTCTTATTTATGCATCAAAACATATGTTGACTTCTCAAAATTTCATTAGGCAAAAGCAAGAAAAAAAAAAGGAAAACCAATACATGAATCGAAGAATTTATTTAATGCGCAAGAAATGGTTCCTAGTTTACAACCCACCAAGAGTCAAGACTAAAAAAAACATAGCAGACCCACGCAGAAGATAACAATTGTTATTGGGTTGCATTTTCAGACCTCAAACCGTTAACGGGTTGAACCCACAAGCAAAATAGAACAAAGAATTAGCGGTTGTATTACTCTTTTTTTTTGGTTTTTGAAACTGCGGTTGGATCAATTCTGATATCATCAAATGATCAAAAGAAAAGTTGTCTGATAACATAAAAAATTATACGGTTATCATTTAGAGATTTCAAAAGGAATAAATGAAGATATTTAGGGTAATATAAAAAGATTCAGCAAAACCCCCTCATTTCTATGAACTCTTTCATGTTCTTTTAAATCTTCTTCAGTTCATCCTGTGAAATACTCAAGTCTTAGCTAGACGATATCTGAGCTTCAACATCTGAAGATGATACAAACCATATGAGTGGATTTCTAGTTTAAAGAATATACTAGAAACGGGGAGTGGCGTTGCCGCGCCTGCCCTGGACACCTCCTCTAGATTTGGACCAGTATTGCAATGGATAGCAGAACATAGAAATATACCAGGAAGACAGTTGACAGTTCACTATTCATACCTAAATGAAGCACAGAGGATCACATTGAAATGAATTTCAGAACTATGTAATATGCTCTTTGAGGGAGTATAAATGTTTTGTTCCTTAACAAAGAGAAGGGATTGTTCAGATAATGATATATTATTGAGGTGCAACTTTATTTGTTTATATAAAAGCCTTTGTTCTGATGTCTTGGAGAACCTGCAATTA